ACTAGTGCAGGATGAGGAGGAAGGAGAATGACCCAGGTCAGGCCCGGGTGACCTTGTTAGTCATGGGGCCTGAGGTCCAGGGAGGGCTGCGGCCTCAGACTCCTGGCCCCAGGAAGAGGGTTGTGGGGAGTCAAGGACAGTGACATCCAGAAAGCAAACCCAACAGACCTGTAGGGCAGAGCCATCCACTGCCCTGGGGTGTGCCTGGCTCAGGGGAGGACACTGGTAATCCAGACAGGCAAGCTGCCAAGGGCGTCACAGTGGGAGGGGGCGAGGCCTGAGGCCCAGACATCTTGGGTTCAAGTATGTCTGCGGTGGGAGGCTGTGGCCCCAAAGCTCCTCTACCTAGCTGTCCTAGCAGTGCTGGCACCCCAGCCAGCCTACTCAACTCGGGCCGTACCCAACCCAGGGGTTGGTAGCCCAGCAGCTCTGGGGGGTGTGGGGGGTCTTGGAGTTCTTTTTAACCACGAAGGAAAACTAGTTTTATAAAGGTGAATGCAGAAGAGGCCGACAGTTATTTAATAAAATGTTAATTTAAAGCGCCGTGCCTTTATTTTGCTTTACCTGATGACACGGGGCAGCGAGCGTTGGAGGACGCTGGGAAAACCTTGGAAGCAGGATCAGGCTTGGGGGGGAGGGGGGCGGCGGCGGCGGCGGGGTGTTCGGTTCAGCCCGGGCCCAGCCCATTGGCCGTCCAGCCGACGGCCTCAAGCAGGGCCCGCAGCCTGCGCCCGCCCTCCCGGGGCGGACTCCCGCACACCAGGCCTAGGGCCTGTGAGGCTCCGCATAGCCACCGCGCAGCCCCGCGGTCCCGGCCCGACCGGGAGGAAGGAGCTAGTCGGCCGAGACCGCGCCGCCAGCGACCGCCCCTTTCTAGGCGGAGCCAATCGGAGGCGGGTTCTGCGGGCCGGGCCAATCAGGGACGCCTTCCGCGAAAAGTTGGGCGCGCGCGCGCAGAAACTCCCGCCAACACACGCTGCCTGGGAGCGTGCAGCCAATCAGCGCTGAGTGGCCGCGGCGGCCCTCTCCTTTTCCCTCCTCCCCCCCCGAACCTCCCCTCGTGGCGGAGGGGGTTCCGGTCATTATGCCTCCCGCCGCGGAGCTGACGACGTCGGACCGCAGCGCAGGTGGCAGATCTGAACGGCGCGGTCCCTGGGTTAAGGCCTGACACGTCCGCCAGCCTCCCCTTCCCCTCCCCCTCGCCCGCGAGGCGCGCGCAGCCAGGCCGCGCCCCTCCCCCGCCTACCCCGTCCCGCGCGCGGGAGCTCCGG